GATAACTATGATATTTCCATTCCTGCATAGGTTGGCACCTAGCAGTCAAAGCATACATTTATATCAATGTTCTATCTACAAAATAGGATGTAAGTAAATGTAATATTCATCCAATCTTATGAAATATATTTTATCTAATAGTTTTTAAAAATTGTAATTCCGATATAAGTATGGAGAGCAGAAGCAGTAGTCGCAGTATTATCAAAACCCTTATTTAGGCCGGTAGACAAATAGTTCAATAGAAACAAATCTCCAGTAAAATACGTAATACTAGTAATAACTGATAAGGAAATTGCGGTTGTGGTGGTGATGGTATAGTTAAAGTAGTTATATTAGAGATGCATTAATATGATTGAAGGCATTAGCTACTGATATACTAGGAGAAGTAGCAGCGCATGGAGTGGTAGCATCGTCATGATTGTAGCAGTAGTAGTATTAGTATTAGTAGTAGTAGTATTAGTAGCAGTAGTAGTAGTAGTAGAAGTAGCACTACTACTAGCAGAAGCAATAGTAATAGTAGAAGTGGTAACGCATATATAGAGAGGTGGTGGTGGTGGCAATAAATAAAGGCGGCTGTATGCCTAGAAGTATTGAAAATAATGGAGACTGTATTCAAATTAGTTAAAGTATTGGGAATAGTAGTAGTAGCATTATGAGCAACAGCAAAGTATAATGGTAGAGGTAGTAGTAGTAGGAGAAGGAGAAGGAGTAGTAGTAGTAGTAGTAGTAGTAGTAGTAGTAGTAGTAGTAGTAGTAGTAGTAGTAGTAGTAGTAGTAATAATATTAGTTGTAGTACAGTAGTTGTGGTAATAGTCATAGTGTACTAGTAGTAGGCCTGGCCTTAAAATGGGCCCGAGAAACTACAGTCTGCAGCAGATCATTACTTGTTCTAAAAGAGTTTTGGTAGAATTAGTATTGTAAGTAGATCCAAACTGAAGCTTACATGCCGTCCGGGGCAAAATAAAGAGACCATAGTTATAGTCCAAGTTAAATCAACAGTCATAATATTCTACAGTAAAGGCCCACATATGAAGTAAGAGTGCAATTGTAGAATAAGTAACGTTGGCTGTCCACAAGAAAACCGTTACTGCTATTGACAATACATAGAAAATATAATTATATACCTAGAAATAATGCTAGTAGACGTAGTAGCAGTACGTTGTAGTATTATAACCATTAATAGTAGCAGTAAAAAAAAAGTAATAATAATAATAACAGTAGTAGCAGTAGTAGTAAGAGTAGTAGTAGCAGTAGTAGTAGTAGTAGTAGTAGTAGTAGTAGTAGTAGTAGTAGTAGTAGTAGTAGCAGTAGTAATAGTTATAGTAATAGAAGAAATAATGGTAGTAGTAGTAGTAGTAGTAGTAGTAGTAGTAGTAGTAGTAGTAGCAGTAGTAGTAGTAGTAGTAGGGGTAGTTGTAGTAGTAGTATAGTACTGCTACTACTAGCAACAGGCGTAGAACAATAAGTTGTCGTCATGATCGTAGTTGGAATAGTTGTGGTAAAGTGGACGGATATTTGATAGTATTTATGCTAGTGGTGTAGGTAATAGTAATAGAAGCTGAAATAATAAAAAATAGAAATAATGACAATAACGGTTATACTGTCAAACAGAATTAAACTGATACATGTCAAATTAAAATAATAATAGTGCTGACGATAAAATGAGAAGAAGAAGAAGAAGAAGAAGAAGAAGAAGAAGAAGAAGTAGAAGAAAAATAAGGATAATGAGAATAACAATAATATTAATAAGGGTGATAATAATTAGGATAAAAATATTAAGGACATTAGTAGTAGTATAAGTAATAGTAGAAGTAGTAGTAATTAAACGATTAATCAATTCATTAAAATATATTAAAAACTGAGGATTGATCTAAATGACTATGTGTGCTGATATTCTCGCCATTTACTCTTTAGTAAACGGTTTTTGTTGCATATCACTGAAATAGTGTTTAGTAAAATTAGAGTATATTGAGCCACCACCACCTCTACTTTATTTTACCATGTCAATTTTAAAGAATGTAGTCTCGAAAGCCCGACGCGCACTACACGATCTGACTACGACTACAATCCGATTTCGGAAGAATCTGTGTTAGCATTTTATATGAACATTTAAACATGAGAAATCTTAAGTACCGAGGATATGAATAGTTTCATGATTGATACAATCAAACAATCAAGGAATGTCATGCTTCCTTCGAGGGGAAAAATAAATCGGCTCAGAAACGTCATGACGTCAGACCAGTAGTGAGATTGTCTACGATTTTTTTTTTTTTTTTTTTTTTTTTTTTGGGGGGGGGGGAGATTTAAATGCACTTAAATGTTTGTTGTTAATATTCTTATAATTATTATAGCCTACATCAGGAAGATAGTGATTGTTTAGATTTACATATCTGATAATGCTTTTCCTATGAAAATCAGATCGCAGGAAAATGGTGTAGTGTGCGCCGAGCTTAGCCAAGCTAACAGTAAGTCCTTTTATTTCTGCGCAAAGCCTTATCATGCTTGTCCTTACTACCATACTTTGTACCATCTATTGAATTCCAGTTTAATTTGTTGAAATTAATTATGTTGGAAATATCTTCAAAAGATTTAAATATGCATTTTTTTATTTTGATCACGATCACGACTGAAATTTCAATTTGTTTTTAACGTATTCAATTCGAATGGCAGCTGTGTTGTTTCAAAGAATAAACATAAATATTAAGCTTTAACAATGGAAATGTTTTTGTGATGAATTTTCTGTAATGAACTGTAGGATGTTAGTAGAACATTGTTTTTTTGTAATGTTGTACTAAATTAATAGTATACTAAATATGAATGGTGCGCCCTCTCGCGACTCAAACGTGTATTGCAACACCTTATTGGTACTTAGCACCATTTTTCATCCGCTGACTACCAGAAGTGAAAGTGTCATGGTTATAGTTCGAACTATGCTTGGGTTTAGGGTTATCCCTCTGCCCATAATGGTACGTAGTACGGTAATAACTAGAGGACCGATGGGCGCAAATATGGTTTTCTTCTGATAAGTTATTCTCAGTCGAAATATCATTTGATGAGTGAGAGTGGAAGAAAGTGAACTGAGATATAAAGAGAGAAACTAAAAGAGAGAGGGAGAGAGAGAGAGAGAGAGAGAGAGAGAGAACGATATAGGGATAGTAAGAGAAAGGAATAGACGGATATTAAAGGTAAAGACCAGTTATGGTCATGCGATTGCATTGTGAAAGAAACGTTGTGGAATCGATCAGAAAAGGTTGATCATCTTGCATCTAGCATCTGCAAGGTTCTGGAATCATCAAAATGATAAGAAATTTGGCCCATTCTTCGTAAAGTTACAAGCACTATACACAGAAAGATGTATATGGGACTGCCCTATATCTCTCACAGACCATGAGAGAAACAAATTTACCACATATATGAATTAGTAGGCGGTTTCCCGGCTAATTTTTTATCATCATGTATTAGTCAAAACATATTCTTTCACATGATTGTTAATGAGAGCTTCCATTTCATTTTTTGAAATTGGGGCGTTTCCAATACTGGTCTTTACCTTTAAGGAGATAAGGAGAAACAGACGGGTGGAGGTGGGAAGAGATAGGGAGAGAGAGAGAGGATGGAGAGAGAGAGAGAGAGAGAGAGAGAGCGATATAGGGATAGTAACAGAAAGGAATAGACGGAGATTAAGGAGATAAGGAGAAACAGACGGGAGGAGATGGGAAGAGAGAGAGAGAGAGAGGGAGGGGGAGAGGAAGAGGAAGAGGTGGAGCGGATTAGATACAAAAGACAGAAATTGAGGGAATGAGAAAGAGAGAGAGAGGGGGGGGGGAAGAGGGCGCTATTAGACAAATATAATTACGTTCTCATTGCTTTAAAAAAAAAAAACTAGGAACGTTGTGCCATACGGTTCAGACCAAGTTCCTTTTTTTCTTCTTAAAAGATACTGCCTGTGATGTGATAGGCCTACTCCTTCGCTATTAATACCAAGACGTATACTCTGCCTACTTTAAGTTTATGTGTGCTATGTAAGTCAATAATTCGGGCCTACTTTCAAAATACGAGTTAGGGAAATAATCGAGGGGGAAATACAAAAAGTAAAAGTCGGAAACTCATTTTTAAATGATTAGTTCGTCTTTAATCAATAGGCTTTTCAAGTAGAAATACATTTAACTCTACAATAAAAACATTGATATACCTAGCGCTATTATCACATTTACACCTTTTCATATTTTTTTCATCTCCTTTTTTTTCTTTCTTTTAGGAGCGGTGCCAATGTAATACATGTGCACAGAGAGTTTTTATCTCAAAATATCTTAACTAGGTGTTGTGGCGTGCGCCTGTAATCCAGCTAAAAGTGGAAGTTACAAACTGAATCAGCCGAGGACGCAGGTTCGAAAATGAGTCACGTCTTTCGGATAGTGACGTTTAAAGGTTGGTCCCCAGACGTAAATAATCATATCTGATTGATACACGTCTGCAAAAATCCAATACACACAAACACACACACACACACCATCACACACACACACACATGATACCATTCCCCATAATTCTCTACGGTGACTTATTTTTTTTAAACAAATTGATATTAGTGATTAATTAAAGCCTGGTATTATTATGAAAACTCTGACAATTTATGTATACATGAACAGTACAACATGATCATAAATTAGACATAGTTGGTATTGTTTTTTCATTCCCTAAGGTTTTGTGGTTGACTCTTTGAAATATAATTTCATTTTTATCTCATATTTTATTGAAGTTCAATGTCATGTTATTTATTCAAAACCAATAAAGAGAGCCAATGTTTAAATATTGATCTATTGATAGGCTAGATGTCATACTAAGTATATAGTCAGAGTTATCATTTGGTATATGACTGGGCCTTTGCCTTCTATAAAAATCAACTCGCTTCGCATTACAAGAATCACAAACCTTACAAATACAGCTAAAGATAGAACAAATATAAAACCGAGAACAGATAAAAGATAAAAAAACAGGAAATATCCCATTAACAGAGCTTTGAAAGTCAGTTTCGCTTTCTGTTTACTAATAATGAATTCACTTATACTAATGAACATTACACAGACCGATTTATAAGAACATACCAAAGATAACGAGCAGCATGAAATGAGACATCACAATCTATCAAAAGCACTATAAGTAAAAATCAACTATGAATGATTAGATCATTTTCACAGAGGAGGCATAATTATGGATCACTCATCGTCCTTTCATCTTCAAAAGAAACTTTTCAATTTAATGAATTTGGCAACTTCATACGATGTTTTTAGTTAGATTCTAAGTTGAACTATTCGATTGCAAGTTATAAATCTGTCTTTGCATGAGAGATATTCTTTTATAATTATAAAACTGAAGTCGCATCTAACTACAAATGTGGAGTACCCTCATACTCTATGTATTTGTTTACCAACAAAGTTGAAAGAGCCAATATTCTGTAGTCGATAGATTACGGAAAACCATCAGAACATTTAAGAAAAATACAAGCGAATAAACTTTCGGACTTAATGAGCTACCGTATATGTGTTATGTACATGCTTATAGTACCAGATAACAATTACTATACGATGAAGGTTACAAGTTTATACAAATTAATGTAAAATTTACAGACGAAAATTCATAAATCCAACAATTTATGACACAGTAAGATTGGAAAATGGCGGAATAAAAGATTATATACATCACTTTTTACAATTACCTAGAAGATACAATTTGTTCTTCTTCAAATACTAGACTATTAAACTACCATAGTATTCAATGTTGCCTATCAATATTGTCTATGCAATACAGCAGTAAGAGAAATAACCACGGTTATCCCCTTCACACATTATTGATGCTAGTACAAGATTTCCTGACGTTGTTAATAATCATAGTCATTCAAATTCATCAATTTTAAATTTCTCAAAGTCTTTAAAATAAAAAAAAACTGTTTCTCCTCTTCAACAATACCAGAAAATTCTACCCCTCAGATAAACGTTTACTGGATATAAGTTACAACATATTTCCGATTAATACCCAAATTCATATGGCACTTTTTGAGCAGCATTGTATGAAATTATAACGCATATATACAAAATTACCCTTATCATCAATATGTATACATTATATACGCAGCAGCTTTTAAAAAGAAACAATATTCACAGGTTTGTTTTGTAAGGAGACGTTATGATCTCATTCAAGATAAAATGGGAGGGTAAAACTATGAGAAGATATCTAAAGAAATGAAAAAAATATATATTTACATATAAATTATTCACTGTTCCAACCGACACTGTCAATTTCAACTCCGTAGAATCATTCATCATAAGCTCATTTTAAGCTAATTCATGTTACTACGTCTCATTACGTCGATTTACAGTGACTCATCGTATATGGATTACACCAGGCACACCAGAAGAAGACGTGATGGCTCAGTGGTAGAGCAGTGGTATCGTAACCGGAAGGTCGCAGGTTCGATACAAAGTCGATGCGCAAGTGCCCTTAGGTAAGGTATTAATCCTTATTACTAAGTCCCTTAGAAAGGACTTAAAGAGATCTTGGTGTTATTGTTGATGACTCATTAGAATTGAGGGAGCACATCGGCCGAAAGGTGTGTCAGGCAGCTAGCTTTGGTGTTTATAGGATTGGGAAAATCCGGAAATACCTTGATCGCAGCTCTACTGAACGACTCGTTAATGCTCTGGTAACTTCCCATTTGGACTATGGTAATAGTTTATTAATCAACCGTACCTGCTTGTCATCTGGCCCCACTTCAGCACATACAGAACACCGCTGCACGTCTCATCACTCGCACTAGAAAGCACGATCACATCACTCCAGTCATCCGCACCCTACATTGGCTCTTTATCCCTCAACGTATCCAATTCAAGATCCTTCTCCTCACGTTCAACATCATCCATCATCGCGCACCATCATACCTGATTGAACTGATCTCACCCAAACAGACTACCGGCATGAACCTTAGCTCATCATCCAGACCCCAGCTCGCACTTGTTCCTCGCACCCACAACCGCTAGGGTGACAGGGCCTTCTCAGTCTGTGCCCCCACTATTTGGAACAGTCTCCCCGCCCATATCCAGGACTCACCCGCCATTGACATTTTTTAAAAGAATCTAAAACCTCATCTATTCCAAAAACAACCCAAATAACTATAAAATAAGGTTGAAATAGTATTACAATGCCTACATTATGTCTTATTTAATTGTTGCTATTATTAATATAATGGAATTTACATGTTTTGTTAATTTTTGTTAATTTATTTTTATTTGTTATCTTTTTTAGTAATGTTAGTAAATGTTTGATCCTCTTAGTAATTTAGGTAATGCTAATCTGTTAAGTTATGTCAGTAGTATTCGATCTTTTTGGTAATTTAAGTAATGTTAATTTGTTAGTTATGTTAGTGATATTTTGTTTTCTTGGTAATTTAAGTAATGTTAATTCCATAGCAATATCATTTTGATTTTTCTTGAAGTAATCTTGATATGTGTACAGCGCTTTAAATTGTTTATGTCACAAGCTCTATATAAATTGTTCGTATTATTATCATACATACACATGGGGTTCGGAGGCTAAACGTGCATAATCTAAAAGATAAAATATGACGGAATACAGCACTATAAAGTGACCACATGAGCAGAAAAAGCTTTATGTTAATAATAACCAAAACAAATAATTAATGGAATTTCATTATTCCCCCGTTTATTAAGAGAGTTTACAGTTTCATTATAAGGTGCTAAGCCGATTTGAAATTATTGCTAGTAAAGAAGTCCAAACTATGACATTAGATGGTGTAAATCTTGATGCAAGCCCGGTACAGTCTATGACATCCTCTTCGAGTACGATCACTCGCCCCTCCAGGGCAGGCGCTACGGGTGTCAACCTTTGGATATACTCAGCGAAGACAGCGGAATCTAAGTTACCTGGGCAAATGAGAAGAATGAAACGAAATTAAAGTAAGTATATTGGTCATATCATTATTTAAACTTGGAGTGGTGTTGAACATAAGCTGACAATAATTATTTACAGCGGTTCAACTATTTCATGTATTCTGATGAGCAGCAGCAGTCAAGTTGCACGGCTCAAAATGTTCTTTAGCGCCACCATCGTTCGAACAGAGGAGGCAAACACAACTTTCAGACCGGCGTATACGTCTATTCTCTGTTAACATGGTTAATACTACCAATAAACTCTTCCCAATCCATGAAATGAATACTTTCCTGTCATAACCATTCATGGAACATTAACAGGCAGTCAAAATCTTGTAATAGGGTCATTTGTATGAAAGCAGAAAAATAAGATATGCAGAATGGTAAAAGTTTGAAATAAATCGAACTAATAAGAAGAGAGTTATGAGTATTTGAAATAATTATGAGATCACTAGGTCTATGCAAATCTTAGATTGGCAGTTTAGTTTGGTCACTGGATTGGGAAGTAGTCGCGGATAACTCTCCCGTGTGTCGTGTGCAAACGTAACACTGATTTGTTTTCTTCTCCGAAATGCCTTCTTAATTGGAGCACCACTCAAACATATTTTTGATAGCATATTATTATAGGTCCATAAGGTCCTCTAAACAGAATATACCGTCCAGAGGAATTTATTCACAATCGAAATGTTAGTTATGTTGTGTGTTTGAACAAATGGGAAAGTTTTCCACCACTGCATCACAGAAACATTACCGATTCAGCCGATTTAAGGGCCCATTCCTACAGTGATTACAAATTTCAAAAATCAATAACTTTCTCAATTTTGTCCAATTTTATTCAAACTTTCACCAGTCTGTATACTGCTTTGGTATTTCTGCTTTCCTCTCAAGTAGTTTGCTATCAAGGTTGGATTTCTACTCTTCCAACCACTCAGCATAATTGTACTGAGCAGTCATGACCAGGATGTGGTACGACAATTATTATACAAGACCTCAATCACAACCGGCTGTTCTAAGAGTTATACAATTTCAATTTCAATTTCAATTTATACCAAGGATATTTCAAACCAAAACATTTCCCTTATATCATAATTAATGATATTTCAGTTCGGTTGGGTGTTGTTTCCATGACAACCATTTGATGCTTGTGCGACAGAACAACGCATATAATTATATGTATGTACAGTTGACAACCAAATTATTCCTACCCTTACCAAGTTTTGTAATGTTTTAAGTATGTGTACAAAATTGATTTGTTCAGATTTTCATTTTTGAATGTGACATATAAAAGTCTATATATACAAAATATTCAACAAAGGCTCTAATTCAACAAGTCCATCAATATGACAGTGATACCTTTTCTTGCGTTCATTTATCCAGTAAATACTTCTTGTATGCTCTGTATCTTTCAAAACCCATTAGAAATATACCTACATTTCAAGGGGGGAAATGTATCATATGCAATTAAATATCGGACGATTAATCATTATCATCATTATGTCGAAACTGATTTGAGAGGGAAAATTAATCACTTCAAAGGTGATGTTGTACGTTATGGTCTAGTCCAAACCATCGTTATCTTAGGAAAGTAGCAATGTCATATCCTTGGTTTGCACAATGCAATCTCATTTTCAATTAAGAGACTGTATGCACAAACTCATATAATTATGATATGGTATGCATGTATGCCGCGGTTCATCGGGGTTACTAACCACAGCCATGCGCTTATAATACAAAATGTCACGTATACGGGGCATACTTAAAGGGGGAGTCCACCCTGGTATTAAGTTGGTTTGAATAGAAGCAGAAAAATGATAGGAAAAGGTCAGTGAACGTTTGAGCAAAAACTGATTAAAGGTATGCATTCGCTCAGGTGATACGATTACTCAAACGCAAACTGGCAACTCTGTAACGTTTCTTGCGAGCTCCCCTCCTATTTGCCTTGAATTAAAAACATTACAATATATAGATTTCCTTTAAGAACTTTTCAATCACAAATTCTCCGTAAATTATTGCAAATCTATTTTCATACAACCCCTGTATGACACAAATATATTCCGTTATCAATAATGTAAGGAAATGAAATTTAATAGAATTTTCTGTACAGAGCAAATTGAAATTTTTAATCGGATATTGCTCAAACATTCGCCATTCTGTTTATCTTTTTTCTCTGCTTTCACACAAATAACCGCATCACAAGACAGTGTGGACATCCCTTTCGAGTTTAACGGCAACTGATGTTTGATAAAGATGACACGTTTCCGTACAAAAGCGTGCATCAGCATTGATGATAGTTACTGTGATGGCAGTTTCAATGTTTATAATGTAATTTGCCATCTGAATTTCAAGAATGCTGCAACCATCAGCTGGCCGTAATGTGTTCATGTTTGACCTACAAATGTCATCCTGAGGACCACATGATGGATATACCGCAATATGATTGGATTTAAAATGTGTTGACTGGAAGCAAGTGATGGTATTCACACGATATGGATGTAGTGTTAAGGTTACGTGCCGCATATGGTATTCGGCTTGCCTTTTCAGTCGTTACACACAGCTCAGAAGAATGATTCCGCATTCATGCCGCTTTGTTCCGCATTCATACCGCCTTGTTCCCGCATTCATACCGCTTTGTTTCCGCAGCCATACCGCTTAGATTTCTTTATAGCACCCTTTGGAGACTAGCACATCAAGCTTCTCATGTGATGAGCCATAATTATGCTCCCATGACATTTAATCCGGGATTTATAATGCCAAAGGTATCGGGTCATGCACTTGGGTTTAAGTTTAGGATTAGGGTGAGGATCATGGTTTAGTGAAATGTTGGATCCACTGTTTAATTTAAGGATTCGACTACGGTGTCGAAGGAGCAACGCACTATGAATATGACGGACAAAGAAAGCGGACAAAATATACAGTTCCTCAGGTAGACTAAGGAACATTCCTTCACTGATATTATGTAAAAAAAAAAAATGTGTAGAGCAGGTGTCACATGCATATTCCCCTGTTCTACACATTTTTACATAATAGCAGTGAAGGGATGTTCCTTTGTCTACCACATTAATTGTTAAGGGTAGAATGAGGAACTGTATATTTTGTCCTCTTACGTTGTCCGTCATATTCATGGTGGCATTACGGTTTATTAGTACGCCTTTAATGTCAAAGCTACATATAATGGTCAAGACCAAAAGGGGAGAAATCCGCCTTTAAATATTTCAAATACCTGTCACGTGATTCATTTTGTTGTCCCTAACGACGGTGTAACCATCCCCACCTCCAGCAAGAAAGCTGTTGGTGACGATCTTGTAAACACGCTCCACATCGAGCGGCTCGTAATGCGGTACCGTGCAGTTGGTACAGATAGCCTCGGCTGATACTACACGACTCCCTGGCTCTCTGGCCAGACTGTACGTAACTCTTAAACCTGTAATTCGATCAAAGAAAAAAACATGGGGAGATGGTAAAATGGTGAATGTTACACATAACTGCCTGCGTTTCACTCATCATCACATGTTTGCCACCCGTGTGTATCACAGCATAATCTACACTGTTGGTCATAATGGTGGAATATTTATTTTTACCCCAGTTTAGGGAAGGATTTAATTTTTTGTAAAATTTCTAATAGATCTAGATAATGGCATACATTCTCAGATTTTATTGAATATTAATTTGCGAGTGTTTATTTTGCGTGACTGCTAAATCATATGTGTGCTGCTATGCTAATCAGCTAGAGAACCTACGTCCTTAAATCATAATTGACAGTAATGAGGATTAAAGCCTCACAAAAGGGCACTAATATAGCTGATTGACACGATTTTTATCCTGGGGCCTCACAGTAACGAGGCCATTGCTTAGCCCCTGAATCATGACTGTACGCAGTGTTTGCTAGGGTACGCGGCCCCTTCCACAAATCCCCCAAAACGAAGAAAATGCAATAAATTGTCAAAAATACATTGCATTTTCCCCCGGCCCCAAACAGGAAAAATTACTCTGTAGGGCCATGCATTATGGTTCAAGGCATGGCCCTACAGAGGAATTTTTCCTGTTGGGGGCCGGGGGGAAATGCAATGAATTTTTGACAATTCATTGCATTTTCTTCGTTTTGGGGGATTTGTGGAAGGGGCCGCGTACCCTAGCAAACACTGCGTACAGTCATGATTCAGGGGCTAAGCAATGGCCTCGTTACTGTGAGGCCCCAGCATAAAAATCGTGTCGATCAGCTATATATTAGTGCCCTTTTGTGAGGCATTAATCCTCATTACTGTCAATTATGACTTAAGGACGTAGGTCCCTTATCTGATTAGCATAGTAGCACACATATGATTAAGCAGTCACGCAAAACAAACACTCGCAAATCAATATTCAATAAAATCTGAGAATGTATGCCATTATCTAGATCTATTAGAAATAAATAATTTTTAAAAATCCTTCCCTAAACTGGGGGGAAAATAAATATTCCACCATTATGACCAACAGTGTATTTGAAATACAACGAGAAATTACTGCATCTGTTTTACCCTAGGCACATGGATGAAGCAAAACCAAGACCGTCAAACATTAAACTCAAATGATCGAGTTATAGGTCGGTTCGTTGGTGTGACTTGGTTATCAGCTGACATGCACGGGAAGTAGAATTACGAAATCCAAATTTAACCTAATAGGCCATTTTCGTAGTGTAAACAAATTTATGCATATGCCCTTGTGAAGCGCCTCGATAGGAATTATTTTATTCACCTGTTACGAACAATGTATCTCAGTAGTCCGAATAAATGTATCTAAATAGTCCGAATAAATGTATCTAAATAGTCAGAATAAATGTATCTAAATAGTCAGAATTCAAATTACAGACTTGCGCTACCGAAGAACACGTAATATATCCAATTTTACCTATGACTATTGAGGTACAATTATTCGTAACAGATGAATCAATTAATTCGTTATAAATTTGATTACATTACGAAAATGAAGAAAAAGATGTAGGCAAAAAACATATTACTACGAGCAGTAATTACTAGTCCATAAATCATATGAATCATAGGCCTATCAAACCTTCATGAGGCCTTTAAGGTGCTAGAAGGTTTAACCTCATTCAACTTACACGTCGACGTGGCTTTCAACAGACTTCTCCATTATCCCGCATGCACATATTCAATGTATTCAATTTCTTTTTATACAAAGCAATACTGATTGATGTATTCAGGATTGAATTACGGAAAGCACCCCCTCCCCCACCCCCAACAAAAAAGAGGGCATAAAGTCAAATTAGACCATAACTGAGAAAGTACGATGGGATTGGCTCTATAACAAATATCTTCATGAAAGTACCCCCCCCCCCCTCCCCCCCCCCCCACCCTCCCGTTCATCCCCACCGAGTATTCAGAATTGGATAAATGAAAGAAGACGAAATGTAAGACGAAAATGGGTTTTACAAAAAAAGAGTTAAATGTGACCATGATTGAGGGCGTCAGCAAGATTTGAGAAAAAAACATTCTGATATACATGGTGCCCCCCCCCCCCCTCATTTCTTTCCATAGGTCCATAATATGATAATAATGGTACATCTTTAGGTCATCGCAGCATAATTCTTATTCATATTTGGATCTGTGGGGAAATCATCATGTCCTTATTCCAAAATATAATTGGCATGAAAGACGTTTAGGACAAAGCTGCGTCGGAACAATGTGTATCGCCGGCTGGGAATATGGTGGTGCTAGAACTTAGGGGTGTTGAAACTAATGAGTGTCGAAACATAGAAGTGTCGAGATAATTATACGGCTTTTTAAACAAAGAGGTATCAAAGGCTGGAATATAATTGAGGTTTGGAACATGCGAGTGGAACATGGCTGTTGCAACAATATGATGTCAGAGTATAAGAAGCTTTCAAACATCGGGGTTTAATAACAAGAATGGTATAGACGAAGGCGTGGGTGGAGTGCATAACTAAAATTTTAAAAAATAACATCCAACCCTCACCAACAAATATAGCCCACGAGACCGACAGCCTCCCAGACGACAGTCCACGGAACTGACACGCCATGAGACCGACATTGTCAGTTTCGCGACACCTTCTGAAAAGTTATCAGACTAAATGTATTTGGTTCAGGATAGCGATGGCCCAAAAGACCAATGTGTCGGTCTCGCAGGCCTCTAACGACTTCTCTGAGGGTTCACTGTACCTACGTACTGTGCTCTCATGGGCTGTTAATTCGCCTACTTGGAAACCCCGGTTCTGAAAAGACGTTCACGCATTACCGGTAAAAACACTCCTTCAACTGACCTGCAACTTGAAGAAATCTTCCATCCAGCGTGTCCAAGTCGAACATAATGACAGCATTCTCCAAGGCTTCTAAGAGATGAATACCACGTAGCTCTAAAACATCAACCGTGTTGCCGAATGGAAGAACATTAGCGATGTCACCGATCGTGATGTCTCCTGCGGTAATAAAGGATAATGTGATCATGAAACATTTATCGAAATAATCATTCAAAGTAAATTTAAGTCGATCGCCAAAAACTTTCGAGAAATAAAACCCCAAACAATTTAAATTTATAATTGTATATACCATAGAAATCATGTTCTGATTTCACAATGCGTCCTTGTTGTGCTTGCACTTAGGCTTGCACCCTCCCCCTACCCCGCCCCCCCCCCCTCCCTTTTAATTCGATAACTTGTCTGTTTGTTTTTTTTCCACGCCGCCTCATTATTTATACCTTAACAAAGCTGTAGAACCAGCAGGTCCGTAGGTCCCAGACTAACTCTTACCCTGACTAATCGAAGCCCTGATCGAGCCAGCGTTCATCAGCGCAATCCCGACATCGTTCCATCGCAGTTCATCTGGGTTCTTGTTGTTCTGACTGACCATAGCGTCTGAGACCAGGTTGCCTAGGTTACATTCACGAGCTCGACACATCGTACGTTCTCCTTCTAGGAAGGCATGGGATATCCCAACGAACATCACCGAGGAGTTCCGAACGACCCCGGCCCATTCCTCTATCTCATCGAGTATCGCTTGATCTATATTTGGAAGCAAAAGGTGAAAGAAAATAATCGCAATCAACCGTCATTCTTGCCAATACATAGTATCTTAAAGGCCAAGTCCCCTGCAAAAAAAAAGTTACTCATAATAGAAGCAGAAAATCAGACAAACCAATCGGATAATTAATAAGAAAGTTATGAATTTTTAATGACATACAAAACTTTGAAAATCACAAGGACATATTAGCAACTTACTCATGAGTCAATATGTCATTGCCTCACTATCCACTAATTGTTTTCTTTATATTGATAATACAAATTTCCCTTTTCCCCCCTAAGAATATTATTCTTCACACCAGCATCCAAGTTATATTGATAGTAATATGTTTTCTGTGTGGATGCACTAACATAGAGGATTTTCTTCAGTTAGATTATGAAAGATGTGAATTTTGATAAACTATTTATTTCAGAATCAATAATTATGAATATACAATATTCAGAAACAGTATCAATTCTTCAAAGTTTATAAGAGATTTTGTGAAAATTAATTTCATGCACATAATATGATACAAATCATATAGCTTGGGCAAAGGCATGGGGAAATCAAGTTTTGGGGGATAAAAGTGTAAATTAATGAGATAAAAATGTATAAGGAAATTGTTAAATAGTAAAGCAATGACGTCACAATCTGATAACCAAATTGGCAATTTGCGTAGTGATTTTCAATGTTACATACTTGTTCACACTTTTTCAAAAATTCATTACTTCCTTATTAGTTATCTGATTTTACTCAAACTTGTTTTGATTGGTTTGTGCTTTTCTGCGTCTATTTAAAGGAAGTTTTTGTAGTGGACTTGGCCTTTAAGACATTAAGATTATTAACTTTATAGATGATATACTTTGGAACAGATAAGTTTTAATGCATACTATGACACTGTGCTGATGTACATGTAACAAGAAAGTCCAGGAATGTTAATTGATTAGATATAAATGTACTTCAGATGAGCAATTTCTTTCATGCTGAGACCTGCCTTCCATCATGCTCAATGATTTACGAGGGGTCATTTATATAAATACGTATATCCAACAAAAATGAGTAATATCCGAGACACTGTTACAGACACGTTGCCCTGAATTATGCATCCACTAAGTCAAATCTCTTCTCGATTCCAATTTAGTAGGTTAAGCAACTCTTATCAAACAGGGGCGTAATTGCACTCAATTTGACAGGTGAATCGGATCATATTTGCTAGAGAGTTTGCTGATAATTTTCCAAGAGGCCCCTCCCCAAAGTCCTGAATTCACTTGACTTTGATAGTTTAAAAGCTATAATTGCCATATAGTCATCTCCTATCACCCCCCCCCCCCCTCCCCCCTGGTAAAGGCCGGACTCACTTTGCATTTAAGACCACTGTGTCTTTGCTGTTTACATTAGTTTATGCAACATTATTATTTTTCAATGTGTTCTACTAATCATAAATGCTGTAATAATTTGCGCTGACCATTTGAATATCCATCTCATATCATGATGATAAAGCCGGTTTCTGTCTTTAACACGGCAAAGCACTTTCTTACAAGGAAATTAGAGAAAAATACGTATTTCTGCTTTCAACTTCCTGACAAACACCCCATCAAATGATTGACATCAAAGACTCTCAAAATTGCGCTGAATCACAAGTGCACCGAGTGACGAATACAAGGCGTGAAAATTCCATTTAAACTTCAACTTCAAATAAATGATTTCATTTTGTCATTCAAAATTCTTTCACGCCCTATGCATACTCGGCATGATATTTTGTTTCACGTTCCCAAGCTTTTAGCTTAAAATCATATTGCTCTTCTCACCTCATAACAGTGAAAACAAACCTTCTGGTGATTATCTTCAAACGCTCTGCTTTTGAAAGTTAAAAAAAGTTCCAAATAAATATGTTCAATTTGCCATGTATACATGTATATTCACGATCCTGTCCATGAGATTGTTATTGTGATGATGATGATTAAGGAAAATAATCACGAATGCTGTGGTAAAAAAAATTGTAAAAATTGAAAAACAGACGTTTAAATCAATCTTTAAAAAAGGATTGCCGATGATATAAATGTATCATTTTACATTTGCTTTACTCTTGGCTTAACGGTTATTCACTTAATTGTATTTCATACTTCCTCTTCCCTAATATAGCCTGATATTAAGAGTACATAATAAGAACAAGAACATTTATTTCATTAAGTTATCATGGTTATCAAACATGATCGTGACTAAGAAAAAACTCAAGCAGGCTCGAACGTGTCGACAGTAATGTAATTCTATAATCTTACATTTCAGTATTTCATAAACATGTTGTACCTCGACAAACACTTCTTTTTCAAAAAGTTTTGTAAGCAGCTCGGCGCGAATTGTTTTCTTCACTTCACGGTACACATCATACCCAAGACATTTTTTGTTAGGCTACCTGAATAAATATTGAAGCTTCTATAGTCATTTTCATAGTTTGCTGAACTTTGAAATAACAAATATTAAACCATTCTTGTGTCGCATTGTCTTTTTGTTTGACAAAACGAGTTTGACAGACATGTATTGTGATGGGATGTATATCGAGAAAACAAGAGCAAAATGCGTGGTAGCTAAACGGGGGCGGCAATGATTAGGCAAACATTAATCGTGTGATATCACACACATCTCGGCATATAGTCTCTTTAACTTAACACATACATTTCGATGGCAAGATGGTTTACGTCGGATCAACTGATTCATAGTTATATAAATCAAATTGTTTGTCGCTTCCTTTCACTTTCCTTTATACTGGCTTTTTTTGCAGTGTCTGGTGGGTAGGTGCGTGATAACAAGTTTTTCGTTTTTAGTTATTGTTTCAAAGAAAAGAAAAAAATGCAATTTTGTGCCAAATCTTAACAAGTGACGCATCGAGGAGTCAAGACGTTTGAAGAGGAACCAGCATTATAAAGGTGAAGGAGGGGGGGGGCGTGGATCTCATGCGCTGATTGAAAATCAAGTTATCAAGGGGACTAATTAGGGAGAAGGGTAGGAGCGGTCGTAGCGTCTGCGTTTCACTTTCCCTTTCTCTCATTTCTCTTCTACCCCCCCCCCCCCACCCCGTCCCTCTCCAAATCGTCTTTTTCCCTTTTCCTCTCTCTCTCTCCCTCTTTTTTCTCTCTCTCTCTCTTTCTATTTCTCTCGTATTCTCTCTCACTCTTCTCTATATATGTCTATCCACTATCTATAGATAGATAGATATCTATCTATCCATCTATCTATCTATCAACTCACCTATTTGTCTTCATCTATATCTTTCTTTTTATATTTTCATTTCCCCCTTTTCTCTACAATTAGATTGGGGGTATGTGCCCCCGTACCACAGTGCCTACCCCACTAGTCCTTATCCCCTACAATCTTTTTTGTTTTGTTCAATAAAGACATATCATTCAGCAAACGTTGTATACATGTATACATACAGAGTTGACGTTTGGGGTGGAGAAGGGTCAAGATGTAGACGGATGACTCATTTCATTTCTTAAGGCATAACCTGAAGACATCGTGACATGCAATCTCAAAATATTTTGTTCACTTAATGTTTAGGTAAGGTTCTTTGTCCCATTTGCAGGCCAAAAAATGAAAAAGTCAAGCCCAATGGCAATTCGAATATCATACTAATCTAGAACTTCCTTCAAAACGAAAGGGCTTGAAAATGTCTTTTTGTTGAAAAATAACGATCATTGGTTGTCGAATCGACTTTAGGGATTGCAATCCTTTAATGAAATAGTCTGATTTCAGACCCTTGTACCGAATGGTCGTATGTTTTGTGCTGCGCAAAGATTCAATGAGTAGGTTCTTGATGTAGACCAAATGCTCATGTACCCTTTACAGCTCATTTATGTATTACCAAAGAAGTCCGTCATTCACTCAATATTATCTGACAGTGAAGTATAGCAAGTAAACGAGTTTCCTTGCATAATTATTATTGGCAAGATTGACATTCACAATTGTATAGCAAACAAGTTAAAAGAAAAAGTCCTCGGTTTTCGTAACACTACATGTTGGGGAAAACGAGTATGGTAAAAACCGGTCACTCAAAGATATTATTTTTATGAGGCACTTCTTGATCATTTTGAAGTGCGATTTTGTAGGGCTTCAATATTACACCATGCCACATACACTGATAACACGTAGGGCCGTGCATCTCAGATTTAACATTGTTAAACGATGCCTTTAAAGAACGTGAGATAGAATCGAGTTGATAAAGATGGATATGTAATTGATGATTCTGAGTGTATTACATAAATATTCAATGAATATTTCACTCAAACTGCTAGTCGATATGATACTGAATATACCTTTAATGAATTAACTGATAAAATATGTTCGTGTGTTTCTATAGCAGAGGATTTTGTTCTCAAAGAGCTTTCCAAATTATCTATTTTTAAATCTAGTGGTATTGACAATCTACATCCACGTCTTTTGAAGCTCGCTTCACCATTCATTACAAAACCACTTAAACATTTTTTTTAAAATTCAATTTCCGCTGGTTTTGTTCCTGTTAAATGGAGGAGCTCAAGGATAATGCCTATTTTTTTAGGGCGGAGACAATAAGAGGCCATCCAACTTTTGTATGATTTCGGCGGGATTTCGGTTCTTTCACATATTGTTAAGATTTTAGAAAAGGCAGTACACTCCCAATTGGACGATTATCTCAATGATAATGGTCTTCTTAGTAATAGGCAATCCGGATTCCCACCGCTTCATTCAACAGGAACGGCGCTAGTTGATGTAAACGATTTCTTACTAGGGGATAGATAGGGGTCTTACATGTATCTCCGGTGCATTATTTTTGGACCTGAAACGTGCGTCCGATTCGGTGAATCACGATATTTTCCTACAAATTAGACAAAATAATATGGTGTAAAAGGAAAAGAATTGGCCTGGTTTAAAAGTTACTTAAGTGATCGATAACAATGCGTCGTGTTATATTGAAGCCCTAACAAAATATTGCGCTTCAAAATGATCACGAAATGCCTCAAAAAAAGTAAAAACATTTGAGTGACCGGTTTTACCATACTCATTTCCCCCAATTGACTATAGTGTTATCGAAACCGTAATAAAGACGCAAAATAAAAATTTAGATTTTCAATCATAAATATCTTGATAATCAGACAGGCGATCGGCTTGTAAAAGTCATGGGATTCCTTACTGATCTAAAGGTTTATAATCATCATTGCAGCATGAGCTAAATCCAGGATTTTGTTTCAGAATCTGAGACAAAGTGAGATCAATATTGGGCCCCCTTCTTTTTGATGTTTTTATTAATGAACTCTGTAATTTGCCCTATTTTGAAAATACTAAAATATGTTTATTCGCCGATGATGCGGCAATATTTTGCCAAGACAAATTAAACAAATAAATAATGAGTTTGGCGCCATCAGGGGCAAGTGAGGTACCAACCTTGTTCAATGGAGCTATCCATTAGAATGGGATTCCCTTCGTAGGCTATGACCTCGCCCTCATCGTTGAAGGTGATATTAAGACGTCCCAGGTACTTGCCGAATGTGTAGTCCTGTACAACCAAGGCACGACCACCGCCCTGCTGATCGTTGACTACCTGTGGGTAATCACCGTATGGTATCTCTGAAGATGGAGGATCACCTGCAACGAAAAAGAAGAAAACGAATAAAAGAAATACACTGTTGCCCAAATTGTTTATTACAACACAAAGCAGACAGAGAGAGAGTGGTACATGTCAAGGGATATGTCATGATGCACCGGGGGCTCGAACCCCCGACCTTCAAGTTTTCAAAGTACCCATCGAGGCAAAGAAATACTTTAAAGGCCCACTGCACTACTTGTAGCTACTTGCGCCCTCTATACAACAAACAATGCCTAATCGGTGACCATTGGTCCCCCATGATCCTCTTTTTCTTATGTTAACTGAGAGCCGAGTTGATGAGATAACCACCTGTTCAGTGACCTTGCAGGGCGGTCTAATCCCTCCTGTAAACTATGGCAGATAAGCTTTAACACTCTGCGCAGTTGAGTTTCTCAGCCGCGAATTCAAAATGGATAGGTCTTGGAACGGAAAAAGTGCCCAGTTTCGAGCCTTGTTCCGTCCGATGTGGATTGAAGCAGCCAGAGAGCTAACACTAGACCAACTCGTATATCCATCGTAAAATAAAGGTCCTGCTCATACGGTCATGAGATTAGAATCCTTCTAACGCGATTTGGGGACACTTATTTACCTTCATAATGTATCATTCGAACATCGAAGAAGCTCCGATCTCAAGCTCCAACTAAGATTTGAGACCGTATTTCATAATGTATGTTTACTATTCTAGGACAATTACCGCGGTATAAAGTCTACTCCAACCAAGAAGAGGGTGCCAAAACGAAATCATGTACATATTTTGATAATAATTATTCGGCTTTTATAATTATAGCACTCAATACATCAACGATGTGTCTAAGCGCTTTACAGATAAACAGTATTACCCCGGTCATCGGATTGATGGTTACCCGCACACAGTATATGCACATTCTCTACTCCCTGTGGAGGATTCCAGCCAGGCTTCATTTTTACAAGGCTCATTTAGGAATGCCCAATTTTAAAACAAAAGAGGAAATGTACAGTGTTGCCCATACGGGCTCCGATGGTCGACTATATTGAGCTCTGGCTGAAGTTGTGAAGGATAAATTGATTTCTAAGCATAGAGTTAGTTGCTGATCACGTACGTGGAGCTCATTTTGGAATAAGTCTGAGCCTGAAATTCGCAAGTGAGATTTTCTTCGGGATGTCAAATCCAGTTTGAAGGAGAATATTGAAATTTAGAAACAGAATACGGATATGACCACCGGTCAGACCTGATCAATCTTTCTATTGGTCCTCTCCGTTGGCAAACGAGGCATGAGTTGGGGCTACAGCTTCTCTCTACTAAAGTCATTTTTAAAGAAAGTAATTATGACCTTAGAAACCGAACACTCATTTTGTAAGAAGCAGTACTCTTTATATCGCATCTCGGCTATTCAATCACTACCCCAGTGCACCAGAAAAGAAACTCGGCTTTCAAACTTTTTAAAATCATTTGGTGGTATCTTACCCCCTACGTTCTAATTGTCATTGTCTATCTTTGCCTCTGTCACTCTCCCTCTCTATTCCTATTTTCTCCGTTGGCAAACGAGGCGTGAGTTGGGGCTACAGCTTTTCTCTACTAAAATCTTTTTTTTAAAGTAATTATAACCTTAGAAACAGGGAATGTACTATTAACATACCTACTGGTAAACCGAACACTAATTTTCTAAGAAGCAGTAATATCGCATCTCGGCTATTCAATAACCTAACCAGAAAAACAACTAGGCCTTCAAACTTTATGGCCCGAATTCACAAAGCAAGGTTTGAGCCCAGACCAAGGTTTGTAAATAACAAAAGGAGGTTTGGCGAAACAAAAGGAGGTTTGAGCTCAAACCTTGGTCTGGGCTCAAACCTTGCTTTGTAAATTCGGGCCATTAAAGGCGATCGATGGTATCTTCCCCCCTACGTTCTAATTGTCATTGTCTATCTTTGTCTCTGTCTGTCTCCCTCTCTATTCCTATCTTCTCATCTCTCTCGCTTTCTCACTCAATCTACCTCTGATTATTTCTTTTACACATATATGTATTCTTGTTATTAAGATTTATTTCCACATTTGTATTCTTGTTATTTTAATTTGTATTATGAATTATATTTGTTTTGTTTATGTATATTGTGTGAATGTTTTTTAACGGACTTGCTGAAAAAACAGCCGTATGGCCGATGGCATGTGTTTTAACCGTGGTTAGATAAATAAAACAAACAAACGAACGAACCCCTCTTATGTAAAAAAGAAAAATATATTTGGCATTCATCACCTCAAGTTCGGAGAGCCAGAAGGTCTATTTGAAACATTACTTTTATACCTTTTTATTTATCATGTATGTCTATGAGATAAGTCGATTTTCACTAACATATAGAGTAAAATTTCGGCTCACTCGCTTCGCTCCCTTGCCAAACGTATTCCGGGAACATACGTAAGCTCCATCACCTTACACCCCCCCCCCCCCCCCCTCCGACGAAGTCATTCCACTTACATCTATGGCCCTCTTACAGCTCTATCTGAAGAAACACAATGCCGTTTGTATTATTCCATATAGATCCTAAAAGGGCTACATTATGTCAATCAAATTTACAAACTTCGCCAAAGCTATGTACTACCTTTAAGAGGTGTATGTGTTTTTTTTTCACCTGTACGTGAAGCCTTCCCGCTATTTACGATTTATGAAGGTCTTGAGAACATGCGAACAGTTTGTTTGCCAAAGAAAGACTTAACCTTATGCTCTCACATGCAGTGAATGTGTCCACCTGTGTTCAGACTATTGTCCATCGATGAAGTACAAAAGAAATTGTTCATAATCCAATTTCATGACTGGCTGCGAACTAGAATGACAGGTACCAAGCTGTTTACATTGGACACAGATTGAGATTAAGACGTTTTGCAATATATAAGAACTTCGGCAAGTCTGGTAAAATGTGATATCGAGGAGGATTTTTGATTAGGTCAGTGTATTTAACTTGATGAACAAAAGTTATTTTTACTTGAACCAGAGCCCTTGGCCCCCTACAATGCATCTTCCAGAAGAAAAAAAATATGATTCAATTATTCCAAAAAGCATTTCCCTCATCAGTAAAGGTATACTGTAGTTCAAAAACGCGCGTAATTACTTTATCTTTATTTTCTGATTATTCCAAAACATCGACTGGTCCGATGAAGATCGCGAATAAGTTAATTGTTTTTTCTTTACCCTGGGTAGCCACACCAGTATGCTCTTCCCCAGGCCCTGCAATTATTACCCGAGCAATTGCCAAGTACTAATATACACCTGGGTACAGACGGACATAATGCGGGGGGGGGGGGCAAGACTAAAGTTGTCCAAGGATCTGAGCTGTGATCGAACCCATCGAACTCGAATTAGAGAGCCTTCACCAATATACCAAACTGCTCTCGCTTCTGAAGTATGACTTTAGAAAAACGATGTATTTGCCAAAAAATGAAAACACCGGGGATTGACAAGGGAGTGGCAATAGCATCCATTAAACCTGGAAGTACATACATGTACAATGTACACAGCCAGGAGGTATTGTTATAAAAGGGAAACACAGAATGTTAAACTTTTTATACCGAATGTTATTGTTGGTCATTTTTGTGATGGCTACCACGCCTACCACTGTACTAAAGCATGGCAAGCATACCTTTAATGTTGAAGGTAACGTGTTGTTAACACTTTGGAGACGACGGGCTTCTACAGAAGCCGAGCGAGTTGTTAAGTCTGTGACGACGGGCTTCTGCAGAAGCCGAGATATATCCCTAATATGTTGACAAAGTTTTCCAGCTTATTATTAGCTATTATGTGCTAAAGTTCTTTGAAGTATTATTTAGATATATTCATTCATCTCATCTATTAAAAAACACAATATAGTTACGTAGAAAAAAATCGAGAAAAAGTGATTTCATTTCAACTTTACTCTAAGTTAGTGTTCGGATCGAAAAAAAAGGCCCCGAAATACCCGTACAGCTGGAGACGGACGCGTCCGCGCGCGTCCATTCTATATTCTTGCCAGGATTGTTGCTTGACGCTACTCCCAAGTTCCATGCAGTGCACCCTTTCGCATTTCAGATATTCGTATATTACGGGTTGTTTCATCAGTTCGATTTCGACCCTGATTACTTATTTATATTTATCTACCCTACCGGTGTGGCATTTTTTCATCATATACTAATCTAAGCCTTATCGATGTAGGGTATTTACAGGACAATACGCTTTTCATTTTATAAACTTGACCAATTTAGCGAATCATTCATGTATGGACCTCTTTCATGAAAGGCTTATCCCCCACCCTAAGAGGAACAAAAGAATGTAAAGAAGTAACTACTCTGGAAGATTACCGTTTTGAAAGAAGAGGATGAAGGCCTAAACGTAGGTGAATAGGTCAATCTACATGACAATACAAACAACCACTCTAACTTATATACCTTTACGAGGGTATGTAACCATTTTAGAGCAGGTTTGAGTAAAATGTCTTGATCAACCTAAAGCCGGTCTTGGTTTGAGCGGCATATAAAATGTCAAAATGTTATGTTCTGAAAAACGACCCCTTACTCTTCCTCTCTCTCCCCACGGAATATCACTCTTGTCTTGAGCAACTCCGGCGGTATAGCCACGAATACGAGACTTTTCCTGGGCAAAGATGCTACCATTGTTGAAGAAAAAAAATGCAAGGCAATATAAAAGCAAGTTTTCTGGCAATGAAGAAAAGCGAGTGCAAGATGAAGAAAATAATTGTTATTATCGTTACTATTTTATTACAATAATGTAAGCATCATCATCATCATCATCATTTCATGTATACATGTACATGCCATCTACAGAACTGATCATGGAACGAGGATTATCAAAGTTTTATTGACACGATAGGTTGAACGAGAACACAGATGGAGACGAAGACAAATTATTTGAATTCTCACGTTGTTTGCACTTCTTTCTTTATTGTTTCATAACATATAATGAATTAATATATTTTTCAATATAATTTATTTTCGAATTAATAGACGACTACCAAGACTAGGGCGATATTAGCTCCTTATTAGCCACACCCTTTCAACAAAAAACAACAACAACGCGATGCAGAAATAAAACACACTGAAGCACAATTCCAAGTTCACGAAATTCCTGAAGTATTCAGAGAGGAAGGGGGAGGAGGGAGACAGAAAGAGAGAAAGACAGATATGAAACATACAGAGATAGATAGATAAATAGATAAAGAGAGAGAGAGAGAGATGATTGTGATGAATTATGATTTTGTTCTAATCTCTGTCACATGAATTAGCTCTTTCCATTACAAACAAAACAAATCAAATATGCGTATACAAATTCAATAAATATTTTATTGATACAGCAACCTCTTATCAAAATAGGGTTCTAAGAGATGTATAGATAGGGAAAAAATAAACAAAATTAAGCGGGAGGCAAAAACTAAAACAAAGTGAATATTTCAAATTATGAGAAACGAAGTCGAAAGCATTCAAAGTAAATATTATTTTCGTTCTCGAGAATAAAACAATGTATACATGTAATGATGATGATGATAAAAACACTGTTTATCTCAAAATTCATTTCCCAAATAGAGGGGAAAGAGGGGAAATGAATGGAGGTATCGACCGATCTGCGCGTGCGGCGGTGCTTACGCAATTTGTATTGTGAGTGTATTGAAAAGGAAAGACGTGATGCTTCAGCAAAATTAGACGGCAATTCCCCTCAAAAATAACAGACCTTATTTTTCGTATTGACAAACAAAACTTATATTTTTAGAAAGAAAAAAGTCTGATCTTTCATTTTTACATTTACTAAAAATCCCGAAAATGACTGTATGAGGCGCAATGAGCAATGAAAGTAGAAAGCACCGCCAAATTTTCCATTACTGGTGATGTAACCGAAATCGCTCCGTCACAGGGTAAACAATCGCCGTGCGCGGACTCGCACTCAAAGGGTTAAAACTCGAGTGGGTTACAAAATGATTTCTCTGATCATTTTAACTTTCAAAATAATTGATAAGCATACACAAATTGAAAGGAGACCGCAACCTCTAAAAAGGTTCGCTCCAAGTTGAATGCGCTTTTCATGGTTGTGAAGAAATAAGATGTCCAGGTTTTTTTTTTTAAAGGCTTTACGCATGTATATGATGTGTTGTCTTGTCGTGCTTAAAGATAAAGGTGAGTTCTGGTAATGCGATTGCATTGTGAAAGAAAAAGTGTGGATTGGATCAGAAACAGTTGATTATGTAGCATGTAAGTATTGGTGTGCACTGCAAGGTTCATGATTCATCAAAATCATGATAAATTTGGCAAAGTCTTGGTAAAGTAACAAGCACTGTACACAGAAAGCTATATATGGGACAACACACATGGTGTCGGGGCTAGTACTACCTTCCTTGATTTCCTTGTCTTTCTATGCTCATTACTCAGCCAGTATACATTTTCTTCCAAAATTGTTTGGCACATGTCATTTATTTGTAATCTTGAACATTCAGTGTAAGTTTCGTTTGATTCTGTGAGAATTATTTTTTTTTTTTTACCAGAACTGGAGTTTATCTTTAAGTATGATATATATATATATATACCATATAGTAAAACAAAAACAGTGAAGGCGGCCATTATCATGGATAACATCACATATTGTACTGATTACACTGCCTCTTAGCTGTGCAATATTGGCACTTTGACATCGGTTTTCTTCCATGCGTATATATATATATACGCTCTCTTTGCTGAAATGATCGGCTACTTCTAAAAGGGTAATAAAATTTGCTACAGAAAGGAAAGCGAAATGCTTTCTTTGTACTTTCTTGTTTATTCATTACCAAAATATTTTTTGAAAGGGTGAATACCAAAGGTCTCCGATCAAGATTTGATTCATTTGATAATCATATCGCTACACCACTGTTTATTGACGTCTATTGTGGTTTATACAGGGTTGCTTGGAAGTGAACTCTTTCAGAGGTGCCTCGATTAAAGAGGGTTTATTTCAAAGATCCAATCTAAACGCTGACCTTTACCGCTGCTTAGCAAGATGCAAATCGATACCTTAATGTTTGCCCTTCTACTTCCAGGACAGTCTTCACGTCAAGAACCGGAGCCACAAGAAATCTTCATAATGGAACCAAATACCGGGTCGTATTGTAAGCTCACGCGAGATAGAACACTGGTTGATGGCAACACCGCAAGGGTATTTTGCAGAGTGCAACGAATAAATAGGTATATGATAAAGGGGTACAGGCGAAGTCAAATGATTATGATGAATGAACGGTATATTCAAAGTGGATAAAGAATTAAATTAAATTGAGTTTAATACACATCTGAGATAAGCGTCAATATAAGTTTTATCAGCATGCGAACAGAGCAATTTAATAAAGGACTTAGAAAATGCTCTAAGATGCATATAAATTAATAGCGATTTTATCTTTATTATGATACATGCAATATACGCTCGATCAACGAGTAGCTATTTTTTAATTTATATATATATATATGAACGCGAATACAAACACTTTTTTTTTACTAAAAATTAAAGAGAAAAATAAAAATTGAAATATGTAAATTTTCACTCAATTACAAAAGAATCTCATACGATATCAGACTTGAATTATAAAACTCGATTTCTTTAATACTGTATAAGGTAGCATGATTGCAATGGCGAAGACATCGTTAGAGAATTCACGAATTGTTCGTATATGCATGGTACCTGCATGTTTCTTGGTATGGGGTTATAACAAAATTGCTTCAAAATATTATGTAAGATGATGTTTATGACCGATGTAACATCACGTTATCTCACCTGTATATAAGAATGTATCTGTATGACCACCGATGACCACGTCTACTCCTTCAACCATCCGAGCAATCTCCAAATCAGTTTTGATCCCTGAATGTCCTACTGCGATGATTTTATTGATGCCAGCTTGTCTAAAAGCATCCACCTCTATCTGTATCCTCTCAATCTCGGGATAAAAGATGCACTCGCCTGAGGTGAGAAAGAGGATATCAAAAGATAAACACATTAAAACATTGTTTGGAACAAGATGAATCTTAATAGAAGGCAGAAGTACAGAACAGGGGTACCATGAACGAAAAATAGATTGGCCCTTAAAGTTAATCTCAAAGAGTTACTAAAACAGGTGACATAAAAAGAGCGGTGGTCTTTGATTGTTCATATTCATTGGCAGCGTGTGGTAAGAGTCAACTTTCGTAAGATTCTGTGTAGGTGTAATATATTCCTGACTGGTTTAATTTACGTTTTAAGTGCATTCTTTACCCTGACTTCATTTAATGCCATATAATTATAACAAATGATTGCTATGCTTGCAATGGCAGTCTGATCAATCATTTACGTTCATCGGAAAGAAAATAAGCGTTACTATACGATAACTACAGTAAATCATTGATGGGGCTGTTAATATAAAATTTTGGAGTGGTTTCTAACCCTAGACATATGGTTTATTAGGAAATCGAATCTGTTTTTTCTTTCTACTTCTTGGTCGGTATAGGGTACATACTTCTAGAATTCTAATTTCATAAACTCATCCTTTAAGATATATAGATCAATCATAACTTTAATTTGGAATTATCATTGTGTATTTTAATATTGTTAGTCCTTAAACCCTGTTTCCCTATCTCTTTCTCTGTCGATCTACCCCTCCCCATTTTCCCCTCTCTCTCTCTCTCTCTCTCTCTCTCTCTCTCGTTTTATAGCGGAGGGGGGGGGGGATTCTCATATAATTCAGATCCAATTGGAAAGCGTTTTTAAATAGTTAAATGTAACTTTTCACCTTTTTCAATTTCTCTCTATTTTCTGCTCCTTGATTTCCTTTCCTATTTCTCCAATTGCACACACGCCAAAAGACACAAACACAATCGGCCAGTAGTTTCAGAAAAAAAATATATTATGGGTCATTTTATGTCTCAGACAAAAAAATAAAATTGGGTGAGACCCGCGCCAATTGCCAGTGTATAGTAAGCCTATAGTCAACCGTGAATGGTGGAATTTTTCAATATCCGCTGGGTATCCATAACATGTAGACATAATACGACTAAGAAGGTTTTAATATCACAGACTGGGTCACTATAATGGCTCCCATGGCCTGTACCCAATTTCTTCGTTTTATTAAAACCCCACTCTGTAAGATGAATAGGTAATGCCTACTGTATCATGCTCGCTTATGCACAATTATAATACTTATACAGCGAGCAAGCGAATTGTTTTGTCTTCTTCAGGAGAAATAGATCTTCAGGAGAAATAGACTAATAACTATTTGCTTTCATAAAATTGTTTATCACTAAATTCCTTCCCTGTATCCTAAATACACCGGCTTCTTTCGTTAAAAGAAATGTATGTCATATTCAGAATAAATTGTGTTTATTTCCTATAATAAGTCACAACAATGTTTATTACATGAGTTGTGTGCACAAGATGTCGGTATATTACCTTTGTATTACATTTTAAATATCTATAATGGAATGAATAATGTAAACAGACACTTTATGAGGAACACGCATTGCATAGACAAATGATTTTACCTGACGATGAGATTTCATGAGTTTTGAAGTACGTGTAACCAATTAGTCCTATCCTTTCTCCGCTTAATTCTCGAATGACACTCTTTTGAAAAAGACCGTTGATGGAGGGTTCGGCTGACGCGTCGATGTTGCAACTTAAAACAGGAAAAGTTGTGTTTAAAAGAAATGGCCTCAAGCCTTCAGGCTCGTTGTCGAATTCATGATTTCCAATTGCCTGAAAGTGAAAAAAGGAAAAAAAAGGGAAACAAATTGTAAATAAAGAGACACAAATTGAGAAACTGGAACATTGGAGCGTAGGACCACGAATTTCAAGTAATCAACTCGAGGATAATGTTGTATTACCTATGGAAATCATATTCGGGTTACGTAATATGCTATTTTGTTACGTCCATGTATTTCACAAGGTAAGGCACAGAGCTATTGGAAATCCGCTTAGGTTGATTTTTTTAATGTATTTGCGATCGTTTTTTGGATCGTGTTTTCACAAATATTCACATTATTTGCTCATACCGTTAGAATATTTGGTAACAATTTAGTTTGTAAAATGTATTAGTAACTAATATTATTAAAGAGGATTAGCTCGAGCCAGATCAGACACAGCGAATGAAAGAAGGAGGAGGCCCAAAGTGTGAAGAGAAAAAGAAAAAGGTGGGATTAGAGCAAAGAAGATAAGGGATGAAAGGAAATTAGGAAAAGAGTCACATTACAACAAACTAAATCATGAAAACCAAATTACGAATAAGGAGGGAAAAACCAGGAGTTAAAGATAGTTTGTAATGCTATTTAAAGCGTAGGAGACCGAGACTCAATGATGTTCGTTCCTTAGATGGCAATAATCAGATACTAGGAAGGAGAGTGAAACGAATATTTAAGATTGATAGTAGAAAGCTTAGGAGAGATAGGAGAGAGCAGGAGAATAACCTAAACGTAATGGGTGATTGATTGAATTTTATTCGTCAAGCTTCCAACATACAACAATATACAAGAATAACAGATCAAAATTAAGTAAGCTTGAACAGGATAACCCACGAAAGCTCGAGAGCTTATTTCCAGTGGTGCAATGAAAGTTGGTGACAAGTTTTAAATTCATGAAAGAATGAAGAAGAAACAGTTGCGGTACAGCCCCTTGTTTCATATAATTTCTTTTCAATAAGAAATGCTGAAATTCTATGACAAATTTGGTCGTGGCCAAACGAATGTAATGATTTCAATAGCTTATAACAACTATCGTTGCTTCTTATTGATAACAAGTTTTATGAAACAGAGCCCGAAACCTGGACTTTAAAATGAAGAGCTGGAAAGGCCAGGGAAAATCTTGGGGATGATTTTTCCTCAATCCAGAGAAGAAAAAGGTGTAATTTCACCAGCTCTCAATGAGATAATTTGCTAAATACAATAGATGCCTCCCTCCACAAATTATTTTTTGTTACAAAAAGTGATAGCAGGATGGAAAGGTACACTAAATTGTATGTATGTATTTTTACTAATACTAATTTTTACCACCCTCGAGCGTATATAGGTTTAAAAAAAAATTTTTTTTTTTGGGGGGGGGCCTAAATACAACTTGGCAATGCATTGTTGTTTTTTGGTATTAAACAATGATTCATTATTTAGAAAAACCCGTATTTCATGTAAATCCTCTATATTTATAAAATATTACAGCATCTTTGATCATATTTATGTCATGATTATATTTCTTTGATATTTCTTTACAATATGTGGTTTAAAAACCAACTCATAACAAACCTTATATTTACGTTCACCTGTATACATGCATACGAACTCATATAATTTATCTCTTCTTGGTGTGTCATCAGTAATTCTACTATTTTGTTATTCTTTATATGATATATGTTTTCTTATGTTTACTTTGTATTTTTATTGTATATGCACGGCTCCATTGTAAAACAGCTTAACAGCTGAACTGGGCTTTTACCGTGAATAAATAAATAAATCAAATCAAATCAAATATCTAGATCTTTAATTTGTTACATTAATATCATGTACTCGTATTAGTGGAAGGCCTATAAATATGATCAGCAGCACCTTTCACTTATTACGTATCGTGACGTAAATTATCTTAGGTTGTATTGTCAAAGATAAATCATCTTCTACAATTTGACTTATAATTCGATATTGCAATCAGCGTATAAAGCACGTCGAGTATAGCAGGGTAAGCTATTCAAATGTCTACTAAATGTGTATACTATAATTTTTTTTAAAGGATATATGAGCAGATAAGAATAGGATTTAATTATCCCCGCACATCATGTTTTGATAATGAAACAAAAATGTGGAACAACGTGTTTTCGTACTCTTATTTATATATATATATATATATATATTAATGATAATAATAATAATAATAATGAAGGTATTTATTCAATATTCACCAACGCAGCTCGAGAGCTAAATTACAAATGATTTTAGAATAAAAAGTGCATTAACCTAATTAATTACAAACGGTATACAACACAAAAAAATATTTCCTCATAATAGAATTGTAGAATTATTACGTTAGAACAGGAACAATGTATTTATCACAAATTAGGCTTGAAAGGGAAGTAGAAGAGCATGGTTGAGTTCCTGAAGCTAAGCTATTAAAGGGAAGTGGCGGGAAAATGCTCTCATCAGCCTCTTTTTTTCTGCTCCACTTCTCCTTTTCAAACTGATCTCAAAAGAGTCTTCTCAAACATTAGACGTCAATAATCTGATAATACAATTGACGAGTTAGGATGATCTGTATCTCTTTCTTCTTGTTGTCTTCTAAGTTTGAGTTCTGGGAAGAGGTGAAAGAAAATTTGTGGGCGTTTTAATTTCTATTATGCAAGTGTGGAAGAACACAGGAAAAAAAAAGTTCCCTGAAAAGCATGGCCCTTCAAATGCCTTAATATTCTAAATATGGTATGTAACAGCACAAAAATCGGGACAGATTTGTATGCCACATGTTCGTGTATAGTCCCATTTACATACGTATGCGTACAGTGCTTGTAACTTTACCAAGACTGGGTCAAATTCTTATCATGTTGATTATTCCAGAACCTTGCAGTACACACCAATACTTATATGCTAGATGATCAACCTTTTCTGATCGATTCCACAACGTTTCTTTCACAATGGAATCGCATGACCAGAACTCAACTTTATATTTAAGTAAAGTCTTGGGAATTACAATCTACAGATAATAACTTTTTTGTGTAATGCCATGCAAACTGTCGCTTGCAAGGCATTACACAACAAAACGAGTACAAAATCTGTAATAACACATAAGCTTTATAAGTATTAAATTGGAAAGAGAATACTGTAGTAATAGGCTAACTATAATGGGCAATTTATAATGATAATTACATGTAGAACAGAAACAGACGGCACAATGATTCCCCAAATTGTACTATTCAGTACACATTTATATTTTATTTTTTTTAAATACATATTTGCATGGTGTGTCAAAAAGAGAGTTGCTTTGGGAAAATATTTCCCAATGGCCAAAAGGAATGTACTTCAATGTACTCTTTGTGACAAAAAGGAGTATTCGGCTGTGAAATACACACACGCTAGAATGAATGTTATTATCACAATGCACCTGTTCAAGATAATAGTACATGTGAACTTGCTCTTAAATCAATACGAGTGAGAATTGATGAAAATGTTGATGATCAAGATCATGAAAGAGTCCACAGGACTTTTTTTCCCCTCCAAATTCATGATTCGGTTACGAAAGACCTGTTTGCGTTTGGTGTTATCCGCATGTTATTATGAAATATCTGTTTATATTAACAAAACAAAAAAAATCGGTTTAGTCGATATATCATTCAATGAGCCGAACGATAGAATGAGACTTATCGAATCACACACATACAACCTATGCACACATAAGCCCGGGAGATGATGTCTATAGCCAGAATATCAACTTGGCTAGTTTTTGTTAAATAATGCGAGCAAGCGAAGCCAGCGAGCTGAAAATGTTGGCATTTGATTTGTAGTGACCATGAAATTGCGACGTGAAGCATATTACATAAGATTCAAAGATTTACAGATAGTCCATCCCGCTGCCATTTCTACATTTATGAAGGCTGTATTATCCCCCCCTCAAAAAAAAAACCCTTCTCTCTCTTTCTCTCTCTCTCTTTCTCTCTCTTTCTATACCTTCCTCTCTCTCTCTCTTTCCCCTCTCTCTTTCTCTCTCTTTATATCTCTTTCTTTCTTTGTCGTACCCCTGTGGATGTCCATTTAGCTATATATTGTAGAAGAGCTTAAATAATTAGACGTTATGCTGCCAATGATGAAATCGATTGTTTCTTTATCTCACGGATAAGAAAAGGTTAGTTCAATATCGTGAATGGATTTTATTTGTTCGCCGCTTTTATAACCATCTCCCCTGGTTTTTTCTTGGAAATTTGACAGCTTTCTTGCACTAAATTCGGAACCATTGTTCATCCTGTTTCATCTGTATTCATCACTTCTAAGGGCTCGTTCAGAAGTAGGTTTTTTGTTGATCATTATAAGATACAGATTTTTTTGTGGCGAATTCCAGGAACCTTTCCAGCCCCATGTTTGAAAGCCTATATTAAAGATAAAGTTGAGTTCTGGTCATGCGATTGCATTATGAAAGAAAAGGTGTGAAATGGATCAGGAAAAGTTGATCATGTAGCATGTAAGTATTGGTGTGTCCTGCAAGGTTCTGGAGTCATCAAAATCATAATAAATTTGGCCGAGTCTTGGTAAAGTAACAAGCACTCTTCGCCTACTTACCTCGATTTCCTTATCTTTCTATGCTCATTACTCAGCCAGTATACATATCTGTTGTGGTCATCAATGCAATGTCTGATAACATTTACTTTTATCAGTCAAAATGTAAATCAATTATTTTAGGGCGATTAAAAGAGCAGTAAATAATGAACGTTATATGATAAAACCTGCGATTAAAACTCTTTGTTAGGAATTTAAAACAGAGTCCAAATACAAAATGTATACACAGCAAGACATGTGTTGCTAATTCAGCCTGATTGACATCAAGAGATAGATTAAAATATCATTGTAATCCTTAAAGCTTCTTTGCTTTCAGATGAAATGAGGACATAGGTAATGTCTATTATTGAAAGCGGGATTAAAGAGATTTTACTGCTAAGAATCGAATTAGAATTATAACAGTCATAATGACTGAACAGGATCAAAAGAAGAAGGGGTTCAGGTAGCTCGCGCGGTGCCTCTCAT